GAGAAGGAACTGCAATCAGAAAATATATTGATTAAGAATTAACAGGAAATTCAATCCTGGGTATGTACTAAGTTTTGTGTGTACATGTGTATGTTTGAAATAATCTCAAGTTTATAGCCTAGATTGGCTTCGAATTCATAATTTTCCTCCCTTAGTCTCTCCAGTGATCACAGTACCCTCTTAGTAAAAAAAAAAAAAAAAATTCTTTCTCATTGTACATACAAATTTTTTTCTTTTAAAAAAGCATTTTTTATGAAGGTACTTTGGGTATGGCAAAATATAATTATTTCTTTCATATGTTGGCAAATAGGATATAAAAGTGTTCCTTTACCTGAATGTCAATGTAAGGTCTTCAGCTGGGACCTTGGTTTGTGGTTCTGGCTGTCCATTTTCTGTTTGCTTGCTTGTATTCAATTTGCTTTTCATGTCCATAGAACACTGGTTCTCCTTTGAAAGAAGAAATAGGTCAGTTATCTACAATTTAATGGTGCTAATGGGATAGACTAAACATAGTTAACATAAACTGGTAATCAAGAAATCACTCTTGGGGCAGGAGGGATGGCTCAACAGTTTAGAGCACTGGCTGCTCTTACAGAGGACCCAGGTTCAGTTGCCAGCACCCAGAGGGTAGCTGACAACCATCTGTAACTCCAGTTCCAGGGGATCTGATGCCGTCTTCTGACATCTGTGGTTACTGCACAACACAGGTATACTTACATACATGCAGGAAATACACTCACACACATAAACTAACAACAAAAACTGTTAGAGAAAAATGTGCAGACTATAGCTTATTCATAAAATCAGATCATCAATAACTTAAAGATCATGAAAACTAGCATTTTATTTGGTAAATATTATCTTTATATACCATGAAGACACTGCAAAAGAGTAAACATCAGGGCTGGAAAGATGGCTCAGCTTGTAAGAACACATACTGCTCTTGCAGAGGACCCAAGTTTGGTTCCAAGCACCCACGTTGGGTGATCTTGTAACTCCAGCTCCATGAGTTCTGATATTTTTAGCCACAGAGGGTACACCTGCACTCACATGGACACGCCCACACTCATATGCACATAATTAAAAATAAATAAAAGCTGGGCGTGGTGGCCTTTAATCCCAGCACTCCAGAGGCAGGGCGATCTCTGTGAGTTCAAGGTCACTCTTGTCTACATAGTGAGTTGTAGGACAGCTGGGGCTACAGGGAAACCCTGTGTCAAAAAGACAAAAATAAATAAATTTTAAAAAAGAGTAAACATCTTCCCATCTGTTTCCTTAATCAGTATGTTAAATAGAAACTATAAAATTTCTAATTAACTGCCCTATTCTCCCTAAATGCTAAGTATCAAGTCTATATAAAGCACACATTCAGACCAAATGGGAACAAGGAGAGGAATAATACAACAGGTGGCAACTCATGTTCATGAGAAAACCCTAAATATTAGTCACTCATCAGAGTGCCTTGGATGAGCTCCAGATTACCTAGAACTCTAGACCACACAAGTCATTTTCCTTTTCCTCCCCTTTCCCACCATCAGCACTCACCATACTCAGTTCCCGGGTTCTCTTCCCAATTTCCCTTTCCACTTGATGTAGCTCCAAGCTGAGCTGCTCACTTGAGATCATTCCAGGCCATTTTGGAGGTGGTGGAGGGGGTTGCGGCTGGCCTGCCAGGTTGTTCACCTCCCTCTGTAACACCAGCCTGTTACTAACAGCCTAGGCAATAAAGCCAAGCATATATACAACTCAACAAACTTCACAACATTCATAGAATACTTTATTACCCAAGGGGTTTACAATAAAAAAAGTTTTCTTTAAAAAAAAAAAAAAAAGATTTTGTGTATTATATGTCTGTGTGGAGGTATGTACCCATGAGTACAGGTGCCCAAGGAAGCCAGAAGATAGCACTGGATCCCCAGGAGCTGGAGTTACAGGTGGCTGTGAGCTGCCCAAAGTGGGTGCTGGGAACCAACTTGAATTTTCTGCAAGAGCAGTGCTAAACCATCTCTCCAACCACCAAAATATTTAAATGAACTATAAATGAACAAATATTTCATTGTTAATTTTCCCTGATATAAAGCCTATAATTCATTTCAATTAAAAACTCAATGATGGTAAGGACTTCCCCCCCAATATTAGGAACTGAATTAGAGCCTCACCCACAATAGGCAAGTGCTCTGCCACTAAGCTTCATACTCAGTAGGACTTTTAAGAGTTTTAGATGTTTGCCGGGTGTGGCACCTTTAGTCCCAGCACTTGGGAGGCAGAGGCAGGTAGATCTGTGTGAGTTCAAGGCCGGCCTGGTCTACACAGTGAGTTCCAGGCCAGCTGGGGCTACAGGGATATCCTGTCTCAAAAAGTCCAAAAAAAGAGTTATGGATGTTTGTTAGCTGCCATGTGGAGTTCTGCTGGGAACAGATCTCAGGCCCTCTGCAAAGCAGCCAGTGCTCCTAACTGCTGAGTTATTTCTCCATTCTCACACAGCAGGACTTTTAGCTATAGTATTTTGTAAGTACATAGCAAGCTTCCAAAAAATACACTATTTTTACTGTTGTCGGTCTGCTACAGAGCCTCACAGAGTAGGCAGGTGCTCTACCATGGACATGCATCTCTAGAGCATGATACTCTTTTGAGACAGAAAATGAATCTAGAAACTTCAAATAGGACAAAGATCTGTGAATTTGAAGATGAGTAATATAATTTATGGGAAAAAAGATGTGAATTTTTAAAAAGCTAACAAACTAAAAACCAACATACAGTAATGTAGCATTTTGATTCTATGTTAGGAAAAACTTGTATTCTATCAAAGCAGGGGGAAGAGCTGAGCTGGGTATGGTGGTCCATGCCTGTGATGCCAGCACTCAGGAAGGCTGAGGCAGGGAGACTACATATTTGAGGCTTTCCTGGGCTACATAGTAATACTATGGTCTCAATAGAAAGCAAAAACTAATGAACCAAATAAACAACAACAAAAAACTCATACAAAATGAAAAACCTAAAACAACAAAACAAACCAAAAAAGGGCTTGAGGACAGAGATGTGGGAAGAACTTAGTAAACAAAATGCTTGGCTAGTAGGTGCCAATGCCCTAAATTTGGACCTTCAGCGCTATTTTACAAAGGAGAAGACCCTTTTGTGACCATCACTGAAGCGGCAGCCACCAAAATGAAGTTCAGTCCCTTTGTGACTTCTGACTGAAGCAAGAACCATAAAAGGCATTTCAATGCACTTTCTCACATTTGGAGGAAGATTATGTTCTCCCTCTTTCCAAAGAGCTCAGAGGTACAATGTTTGGTTTATACCCATTTGAAAGGATGATGAAGGCTGTATAAGGGCACTACAAAGATCAGCAGATTGGCAAAGTGGTTCAGGTTTACAGGAAGAAATATGTCATCTACAATGAACGAGTGCAGTGGGAAAAGGCTAATGGCACAACTGTCCATGTGGGCATTCACCCCAGCAAGGTGGTTATCACCAGGCTAAAGCTGGACAAAGACAGCTAAAAGATCCTGGAATGGAAAGCCAAATCTTGACAAGTAGGAAAGGAAAAGGGCAAATACAAAGAAGAAACCGAGAAGATGCAGTAGAGTCTTACATATGACTGTCATTTAAAAAAGGAGGAGGACGAGAAAGAAGAGGAGGAGGAGCAGTAGGAGGATGAGGAGGATGAGGAGGAGCAAGCAGCAAAGGAAAGTGAAATGGGGGAGGGATACCACCACTAAAGGTCAGGTAAGGTATGTGGTAATTTATAAAATGTGAAATACTATGTAAATGAAATGAGTTGTGTCATTGTCCCATACCTCCTGTCAGTGCTAAGGATCAAAACCCAGGTCTTGACAATACCAGGCACTAAGTTACATGGCCAACTCAAAATGTGTTGCTCTTATAAGAGGGTATGGGGTTGTTTTTGTTTCTGTTGTTTTTCTGATTAAGTCAAAATTCTAAGCTTCTACTTTTACAAGATTTATAAAAGTTGAGAATTAAAGTAAACATACATAATGAAGGATTTCTAAAGCTAAAAGCATTTGTTAAGAATTATTTACCTTAAATGTGTCATCACATTTACTAGCTACTTTTAGGAAAATTTAAATAATCTGTTTTCTATTCTTAGATATTAATTTTCCTTTATCTTAGAACTGAACTTAGCTCAGAATTTTCTAGAGAATATACATCTATACTAACTCTTAAACAAAAGCATTTTTTTAGTTTTATTTTTTTATTTTATGTGTATGCGTATATTGCCTGCATGTAGGTAAGTGCACCCGTGTTGTATGATGCCCGTGGAGGACAGAAGAGGCTGTCAGATCCCCTGGAACTGGAGTTACAGACAGTTGTTAGCTGCCATGTCGATGCTGGGATTTGAACCCAGGTCTTCTGCAAGAAGAGCCAGTGTTCTTAACCACTGATCCATCTCTCCAGCCCCCTAGACAAAAGCTTTCAATTCTTCAACTTACAGTATGACAAAAATTCCCATTTAATAAGATCCACTTCATATCTCATATCTGACACTGACAGAAGGCTTAGGAATCTAAGGCTAGACAGATCACAGGACATAGGAAAGCCTAATACTAGTTTTCTACCAAACAGTTATTGTATTAAACTGACTCCTCATGACTTATTGTTATACCTATAGATTAATACATTTCTCAGCTCTCACTAGTTTCCTTATGCAGCAGATGGTGATTAGCACATAAATCTAAAATTGGCAGTGTTCAGAAAATAAGAGGTTGCAGATTTCTTATCCCTGAATAAGACACCTATATTAAACTTCTGCTTCCTAAGGCTCAGGAATCATTATCAAAGAAGGGGGCAGAAAGATTGTAAGAACCAGAGGTGGTAGATGACCACAAGAAAACAGTCTTCCAGATAGCTGGTCAGTTAACTCATATGAACTTACAACAATGGCGATAACATGCACAAATCCCATGCAAGCTCGAATCAGGTAAAATCCCAGCATAGACATGGTCAAGTGGGTAAGAAACCCCAACCCAACCTAAGGAATTTTTGGCAACTGATGGTGGCTGGGAGGGGGAAAGACAATCTCCTTCAAGGATGGGACTCTTGGTAAGTTAACCAGGTTCAGTGGAGGGACCCACACTGAAGGACATTTGGGGATACAAATTAGACTCCATAGGCCTTAATACACACACACACACACACACACACACACACACACACACACACACATATGTATGTGTAGATAGATGTAATATAGAGTACTATAGATTGGAGAGAGAGAAATGAGGAGAGAG